GGCGCGCGGCGTGGGGCAGGCGTGGTGTTGTCTCGGCGACAACAGACGCAAACACCACAAAGCGAACTAAACTACGCGGGAACTAACAACAAACATGCACACGTTCCAATCTCAGTGCCGAAAGGATGCGCTGTGATGTGAACCGGTGTACATTCCAATTCACGAAGAAATACTTCGTTCTCAGTTATACGAAGAGAGAAGTTACATATTTAATGCCATTCTTTTGTTTCTTAAAAGATCAAGATGCGTTATGTGAAATTATAAGGAACTGAAAGTAGACGGAGACACGAGGCGATCAGAGTAACACAAAGTGTAACAGGTGCACGTGCATACGTTCCAAATGCATCCTGGCACAAACAGCGAAATGCATTAGGAACAGAAACTGGGAAGAGAAACATCTTGTGGGGGGTGGGAGTGAAAGAAACCAGCCCTGTGCAGCACACACAGCGCTGGCCGATGCAAGAGGAACGTCTTGCAGCGGAACAAGAAGCCCTACGGGCAACGAGTTGAAACTGGGCTGGTCGAAAGGACAGCGCGACAGCCGTCAATGAAATACGACTCTGGCGAAAGAACGTTGAACTTAGTGTAACTGGGCAAAGTAACTCGGGAAGCAACGGGCCCGATCAAAGCAGAAGCAGGTGAAACGATGCTGGCAGACATGTGGCTGAACGGGACCAGGGCCTAATAGCCGAAAGCAACACTTCAGAGATGCTCGAGAAGCAGGCTTGAGCGGCAAACGGCAGAGAGCGGCGTGCTAGCATTTTAGCATTCAGCCAACACAGAAACGGAAAATGTCACGTAAAGAGAGCGGCGACGGCCTCGCCTCGCGGCGGTGGGGGTGAGGAGAGAGGAGAGGATATGAGAGAGGAGAGGAATGGAGAGGCGAAGATAGGAGAGATGAGGAGAGGAGAGGAATGGAGAGAGGAGAGGATAGGGGAGAGGAGAGGAGAGAGAAGAGAGAAGAGAGGAGAGAGAAGAGAGAAGAGAGGAGAGAGAAGAGAGGAGAAAGAAGAGGAGAGAGAAGAGAGGAGAAAGAAGAGGAGAGAGGAGAGGAGAAAGAAGAGGAGAGAGAAGAGAGGAGAAAGAAGAGGAGAGAGAAGAGAGGAGAAAGAAGAGGAGAGAGAAGAGAGGAGAAAGAAGAGAAGAGAGGAGAGAGATGAGAGGAGAGAGAAGAGAGGAGAGGAGGGGAAAGAGGAGAGAGAAGGAGAGAGGAGAGGAGAGCCCGGTTGCGTAACGGAGGTGCCGGGTTCGTGCTCCGCCAGCCGCCTTCGCCGCTTCAAAGGCACCGCGAAGTGCGCTGACGGTGGCGGCCGGCACGGCAAGAGCGCGGGCCGCTGATCGCTCCAACTCGTGACTCAGCGAGTATAGAAAGGTGAAGGAAAAATCCATTCCCGCCCGAAGCCGTAAGAATATGAACGAAAGGGCGCTAGATGTGCAAACAGGAGACGCCGGGACCTTGCAGCGTGTGAGTGATAAGTGTGAAGTGAGTGAGTTGAAAGTTTATTTGAACGCAGTAAATTTCGAATTTTACATTGTAAACAAACGACTCAATTTTACTTCCGGGCATCACTCTCCAGAAACAGCTTGGGCACTGGGTGTGATTTCTGCCTCGCGATTGAATATTTGCCCCAGAACCGAAAATAGCACGAGTATGCCACGCATCTGGGCTGCATGCCCACTTGAGAATCGTACGTTTGACAAGTCAACAAACGCGACCAATTTTCTAGGCTGTAGTCCCTCCAATTTGAAAATTAAAACTTCGCACACGAGTCAACACATCAACTCATTAAATCTTTAAATAATATATTCGATTTAATTTTCTTCCAAGTAATGTAGTTGCCAAGTGGATCAACCTTAAACTCTCGCTTTTAACACGCATACAGCACTGTCCACCAAACACATTAGGCTAGAAGAAAAAAAAAATTCGCGCAGAACGTTCATTCAAAACCGAACGATAAATATCTTTAAATTATTACACTCCGTCGCCTTGAGGAACCCCCTCAAGGAGAAACATCGCGAAAAAATTGCGACATCCGTGCTCTGCATGAGAAGTTGCCGGACTCTTCCCTGTGACCTTGTGGTTTTTCGGTCTGCGTGGCCCTGTCGTTTGGGTTCTCGAGCAGCGGGCTTCGTCACAGCTGCAGCCAGGGTTAGTGGCGGTGTCTTGACCAAACGTGGAGAGAGTAGCTACCAACAGCATATCCGGAAGTACGTTAAGACATAGTAAACCACAAATGGAGGGCTTGCTCCCCAACGAATTCTAGAAACATTGACCTATTTTATTTTATGGCACCAGAAGGGAAAACACGTAGAGTTTTTCACGAACAATTTACATTCTGCACCGAGAATAGCTCATTCTACCGCTAGGTTATTGAATTCCGAGACGCTAAAAATGGCTTTTTCTACTAATATTAAACTATTTCATTTAATAAAAGGGTCGATGCACTTAACCGTGATATCCCGGTCCCACGAATTCAACCGAAAAATCAATGAACCCAACACCGAACAGTTGCTGTCAAGTTCGAACGTGCTCATCAGAGTCGCTATCACGAGGCATTTATCTGACGTGCGATAATGAACCAATTAATTAAATGCCACTTTCTTCAAAGTTTATGGCACGCGAGGCAAGTATCTCTCAGAGCGCCTCACTGCCCCCAGAATGCACTCGATCTGCCAGACCTCCCACCGGGAAGGCCGCATCGTACCTACTGATGGCAAATTTTAGCAAAATATCCATACATCACGAAAATGTTTCCGAAGTCGACAAAAGACATTTGTGTTTTAAATTTGATGAAACATTTCGAAGTAAAATGTCCTGGTTCTAATGAGACAAATGACACGTCAATATTATTTTAAAGTACATTCGGCCTAAATTGGAATGTCATCTTAATTTTCTAAACAAAGTTAAATGTGGTGAAGGTTCAAAATGCAGTGTATCGAAATAAAATATAAAAAAAAATGAAGAAAGATAACACCAGAGAAAGCTTGCGAGCAGCAACCGGTTTAGTGTCGTCTGAGGATCGACAACAGTGACACGTGGCTGTTGATAGCGCGTAATCCACACAAAATATAATTTTCTACATCATATTGTTTTTGAAAACATCGATGTTTCTGGACAAATACATCGATCTGAAGAAAACACCGAAAGCAAAATATGGATGTTATAGTATCGACGTGTCCGCTCGAAAATATCGATGTTGTAAAAAAAACATCAGGTCTTGTTTTGTTTTGCCATCCCCTATCCCAGCACGGCATTCCGGCGCGAATTGGCCGGCCGGACGCCGATCGTGACAAGCAGCGCGTCGCGGGCGGCGGCGGTGGCGGCGGTGGCCGCAGGCGAGCCGACCTTTGGGCGCGGGCCAGCGCGTGGCCTTGTGTCTCGCTGGCGATTGTCGCGGCGGGACCGTCGGGCGGGTCGGGGTGCCTAATAGGCGCGCGTGCTGGCGACGATCAAAGCAGACATTCCAAGCCGCTGCTCGGCATCGCGCGGACCATATGTGTTCGGATGTTGGTACATTACCAACTGCTTGTTGCGAATGCAGAAGTGGTTCGCAACGGTGGAGCTATCTCCAAGGAATGCAGGGAAAACTTGTTTATAAAAGCGAAAAATGGAAACCGTCCCTAATAAATTGGTAACATACCGGAACATTTATTACAGGTTAATTTAGAGCACCTTCTCGCTTTCCCCACTGCTACGCTGAACTACGGTGGCATTACGTAGGTGAATGTTAGTATTGATCAAGTACTATTTGTAGCTACTGACGTGAGTGTGGAAATAAGTTCGTGACAATGACTTCCAGAAAAATACGGAAAGAAGCTTAGAATAGCGAAAATTTTGATCGACGAGGAATTGCAGTTTACAATTATACAAACCATTCTAACACAATGTATTTAATGTCGCTGTTTTATGATTTTTACT